TGCAGCGTGCTCTCCTATTATTGGCGCTGGATGAGGCGAGCATCCCGGCACGCTTCGCCCACGCAACCTGGGTGCATCATCAGTCGATGCGGATTTGCGCTGGACGCTCCCCGGGAATGTCGCCCATCGCGGCACCTCTGGTTTGGTACACACACATGTGTCTCCCAGCAGCTGCAGCGCCGGCCAACCAGCAGCGGCGTCGCACGACGACCCGGCAGGGCGGGCGTCCAGCGCATTAACCGGTGTGCTCTGCTGCCTCTGCCTCTGCGCTGCCTCTGGCTGCCTCGTCCTGCGCCTCCCATCACACGGCGGGTGATGTCACGCGAGGCTAGGCGCTGCACCGCTGCAGAGTGCGCGCCGGCACCGACTGTCACCTGCGACACGTTACACACCCTCTGCGCCCCCTCAGCTCCTGCCTGCCCACCCTGCTCTGCCCTCCCTCTCCCACTGCTGCTGCGTGTGTGCGCCGTCCTGAGACGTCGCGGGCTAACGCGAAGCTTATCTGCAGCTATCAGACGTCCAACGCCTTCACGGACTCGAGCTCCATCAGCTCGCCCTCCAGCGCCGCCTCGTCGTCGCTCGCTTACACCAACTACCCTCACTGCACCACCAGCATTCCCACCTTCGCCGGCCCTGTGCAACATCCCCAGGCGTTCGCGCAACACCCCTCGTATGCCAGCAAGCGGGAACTGCCAAAGTGAGTGCACAGCGTCCGCGCCCGCGGTGCCCTCGCGGCCCACAGCTCACGGGTGTTGACAGTCTCGACAGTATTGGCACTGGTATGCCGCCGCCTGCCAACCCGATCCGATCGTCCTTCTCCAGCTCAGCAGCCGACCGCGACGCTTACCCCCATTCGACTCCTTACCTAGCTCGATCGCAGCTCTCGCCCGGCTCCACGCCTGCTTACCCATCCTTCGCAGACACCCCCAGGAGCGGTCTTGGACTCAACAGCCTGTCACTGTCCAACACCGCCTATGCTCCTGGTACGATGGCCTCATCACCGACGTACGGCGGCCAACAGCATGAGTGCGGCAACTTCCCGTGGCCGACGCTCGAGATACATGCCGAGATGACCTGCGAAGGCCAGTCAGTCACACCCGAGGTCCACGCCAAAGTCGAAAAGGGCTTCTTCCTTTCCAACGTCGACTCAAAGTGGACGTGCTACAGACGGAACTACTTCTCCGTACAATGTAGCTTCGAGTTGCACCCGAACATCAACAATGGCCGCATGCACCTCAAACGAACGAATAACAAGCACACCGAGGCCATCCAGGCCATGGGTATGCGACTGTCTGCCGCCGTAGATGGCTCCGGGGGTAAGGCCATCGAGTTAGTTCAGCACACCCCGAAGCGCGACAATGGGCCAAAGAACAAGATCGACGTCACCAAGGTTCTTCCGCACCCATCGGCGAACCGGAACGACCATAGCGTGACGGCACATGGTGTGTATGGTATGTCCACTTACCATACCACGGGTCAAGTGACTGGTCCATTCTTGCCATTGCAAAGTACTGGAGCCGACACTGCATCGGCTCCCGCGCAAGCGTCAAGCTTGACCGCCACGTCGTACGGCTACGCAGGCGGATCAACACATCTGCCACTTCCAGGCCAGAACATCACGCACACATTCGAGCGAGTTCAATTCAAGCAGGCCACCGCAAACAATGGGAAACGCCGCGCATCACAACAGTATTTCCATCTCATTGTCGAGCTCTTCGCCGATGTTCGGCCAGATGGAGCCAGCGATCCGACCTGGGTGAAGGTTGCGCATCGCGTCAGTGAGAAGATCGTAGTTCGCGGTCGCAGCCCTAGCCACTACCAAAACGAAGGCCATCATCAAAATGGCCGCAGTGGCAGCACAAGTGGCGGCAGTGGGCATGGTGCAGGAGGTACCTCTACCTTTGGAAATCTGACAACAGGAGCATTCCGCCAGTCGACAACTTCATACGCCGGCGGCCTGAGTGGCTCAAATTACCGCTCGTATGCTTATGGTTATCAGGCGTCGCCGGAACATTCCAGCAGCGCCTCGAGCATCGATGGCGGTGCTGACAACGAATATCAAGCCGATTCTGTCATGTCCGACGCAGAGAGAAATGACATTCAGACCCACGAAGGCTACCGCTACTACCCGGGTCCACTATACGAAGGCGTACAACCAGGCCTTCCTCTGCCCAAGATTGAGAGCGCTGCCCGGTACTCCACTGAGCCTTCACAGTGGGCAGTCAAATACGAGTCGTCCGATGCCTTACCTGGAGCATCTTGGGCACAGCCTGTCGGCGGCATCGGAAGATTCCAGGGCGTCGAGTCAAGTCGTGGATACTACTCGGATCAGCTCGCCGCCGCATACTCCTGAGGGAAGCATCACATGACTGGCACTATCTTCTGGTGCATCTGCTTCGGACCACGCAAGACACTTCTTTTCTTATGTTCGCATGTGCTGCGTTCGTCACAAACCCACCAATTGTGTCAAATAGTGCTGGCGCTGGACGCACTTGGTATGTGTCGCTCAACACAGCGACACCGTGCCCGTTGTTGCTTCTTTTGCGCGACTTGAGTTCACTTCTTCACAATACCCCTTGTTGGCGAGGAGCCTCAAGCATCTTTTAATGACAGGGACATGAGACTGAGATAACACGATCACTATTCAGAAATTGCGTCGAGCGTTTCAGCGACGGGTTGTTTTCAAGAGGAGGTTCAAGGGCCCAAGCAAGCTCGCACAGGAGTCCTACGGCGTATACGGCAAGCATGGTTGAACAGGACGCAAAATGATGGCCACAGAACATAATGTGGCTACTTGGTTTTCTTTTTTCTTTTCCTACGATGTAACGAGGTTCGAGATGGATATCGACAGCAACAGCAACAGACAACAGGGTGTTATTGAGGGATAGAGCATGGAGCATGGTTCTGGATTGCATGACAGAATGATAACGAGACCGAGAGAGAGGAGCTAGTGAGAGATTATTGCGCAAGAAGTGATGCGAGATGAATCAGATGAAATGCGAGTCAAGCACAGCGGAACAGATGGAACAACGAGCTGCCTGCTTGGTGGCGGCTCTGAATTACCGGCTAATGTTGAACGAGATTCGTGACGAGAGGGTGGCCTGATTGTATACTGGGGGCGGCTGGATGAATTAGTTAGCTCTCTCTCTTCAGCCCCTAGCGTTTTTGCGTGCTTGACTGAAATGCAGGAGGCCCCTTACCTCAACTTCAGACCTCAACGGAAACAGCTTTCTCCACTTTTTGATCTCACTATCTGATCCCGCTGACAACTCCACTTTTGATCAGATGCACATCACCCACATGATGCTCAGAGGGTCCAGACGGTCGATTTCCACAAGCTTGGCTTCCGCCGCTGATGGTATTTCTACGTAGGTATGCTGCTGATGTTACATGCTGCATCGAAAGCGGGGACTGCTACTCTTCCCAATTTATGAGCTATCGATTTGCATACTACCTCCCGCTACACGGGAAACCGGCACCTGAATGCTGTTCTTCCTCCCACATCACCCCAGCCCAGTACATACACTACAACATACTATACGGCAGACTACCGAGCTTCTGCTGCAAAACCTCCGCAGTCAAACGCCACAAATTCTCCCCCAGCTCCTCATTCTCCGCCTGCGAAGAAACAGCTGTAACCTTACGATCTGGAACAATATATTTCCCGTCAATCCCCTCTTTGCTAATATCTCCACTCGTAGCCGCAAAAAGCGCGGACCTACAACCCTCGTCCACGGGCTCTTTCATGAATGGCCGCACGGCTTTAACTCCAATTTTCCCGAGAGTCCCGTATGCTTCTACGGCTTGGTCTTGCTGATCAGTTTTCACGGCTCCCGGGTGTGTGGCGTTGATCCATGGCGCTGATCCGGGTTTTAAGCCCAGCTCGCCTGCGCCTCGTTCTTTGCGACGAACCATTGCGCGGACGAGCAGGATTTGGGCTAGTTTTGTGCGGTTGTAGAGGCGCATGGGACCGATGTCTTGGTTGATTTCGGTGAGACTTTCAAATTTTGTGTCTGAGGTTGCGCCGCGGTGGAGGTCGGAGGATTGGAGGACTAGGCGTGAGTCTGGGGTTTGGAGGAGGAGGGGGAGGAGGATCATGGTGATGTGGTGTTGGGCGAAGACGTTTACTTGCATGTGTGTGTCCAGGCCGTTTTTGGATTCGGCGTATTTTCCGACGCCTAGGCCTGCGTTTAGTACCAGTGCGTCGAGTCTTGTGAGTTCTTCGCGGAGTCGGTTTGCGACTTCATTTGTCTGTTGGAGATCTTCAAGATCGCATTGCACGGCGTGGACTTTGGTGACATCTCCATATTTCTTGAGAGCTTCTTGAGCTTCTTCCAAGTGCTCTTCCTTTTTGGAAAGAATATACAAAGCTGCGGGATTATGTTGAAGGATATGAGCGCAGATGCCGAAGCCGATTCCTGCACTTCCGCCGGTGACGACGTAGACTTTGCCAGAGAGATCTGGGATGCCGTTGTTTGGTTCGAATGTGTTGCTGCTGAGTGGTGACATGATTGCGATTTTGATTTTCTATCACGAAAGCGTCTGATCTTTGGGACGTACTTGCCATCTCGATACAGGCGTATGTAAACCACCAAATGGCCACTTACACTTACTGACGTCAAGACTCATTGGAGTCGTGATGTGCGATGGAGTGCATGGAGCTTGTTGACGTGGATATACTGTCAGTTGCAGAGCTTCCAAACATCGAATTGTGCACCTTGCAATGGTGCAATGTTAGTTCTTATGGAGAACAATGATTATGCTCCCACCATCATGTTGATGTGAAGTCTTGAGAGAGTTTGAGGGCTTCGAAGTTACACTTTTCGAATCGGTCCGTCGCGGTCCGGTTCTTCCACGTGCGTTTCACAGATGGAAGCAAGACCAAGTACACCTTCCTCGATACTTCTGAGCATATTCCAGCAAGCTCGAAGAAGACAATTCGCCTCTCTCAGCTCATATGGGGCTTAATGTGGGAAGCGTTTGATACCAACACCATCACGGCGATGCCTCGCTTGGTATTTGACCCCCGTCGCTCGTATAGCTCGTAACGTCGTCGATTCTGCGCGGCTGAACTCTCACAATCCAACACGGTGATGAGATAGGGTATTGTTTCATACCTGGACTTCGTTCGTCTTCTTTCTGCTCCATATACTCTCTATCGCATAGCATATTCCGCTGGAACTCTCCGGGCCCCGCCACACCGGTGGCTGTACCCAACATGTTCGAGCTGCTGGCCTCCAGAGGCGTCTGGTATGCCACAGCGGCCATCGCATCGATATGCGTAATTCAATTTTTTCGGAGACTACATTTCCAGCGCAGTATCATGAAAGGCTTGCCGTCGCCGCCACAAAACTACTTCCTGGGCTCGCTCATATCCATGGGAAAGGTTCTCGCCACCCAGCCGAGGGACGCCGCACCACAGACGTACATGCATTGTCTGAAGGAACATTACAAGTTGGGAGACTTGATCTATTTCGACCCGTGGCCTTTAGGTCCGCCGTTGATGGCCATCTTCAACACCGAAATGCTGAATCAAGTTGTACTTGAGAACCATTTTCCGAAGCATCCACTTGTGAGAGGTGAGTCGAGTACGCAAGTGTCGAGATCTTGTTACTGACGTACGTCCGCGTCGTAGAATTCATCTGGAATTTCGGAGGCCCTGCAAATCTGGTCAGCGAAGACGGAGCAGTCTGGAAACGATGGAGGAGTGCATTCAACCCAGGTTTCTCCTCCAGCCATCTCATGACTCAGGTGCCTGCAATCGTCAAAGAATGCGAAGTTTTCTGCGATATCATGGCTCAGCACGCGAAGAACAACGATCTCTTCCGCATGGAACAAGCTACCACAAAACTCACAGTCAACGTCATTGGCCGTATCGTTCTTGACATCGATCTGAATGCACAGCGCGGAGCAAACGTGCTAGTGGATGCTTTCAATTCGCAAGTCCGATGGCAAGCCAAAGGAGCCCAATTCCAGCCGAGTGAGCTATGGGATATTCGGAGACCCATCATCCAAAGATACAATAACTACAAGATGAACCAATACGTCGGCGCCCGTCTTGACGAACGTTTCGCTGGCCGTCAGAGCAGAGGTCGCTCGAAGCATGTCATTGATCTGGCACTGGAAACGTATCTCAAGGAGAAGAAGGGCAGCGGCGCCAATGTTGACGAAATGAAAGAACTAGATGCCGAATTCAAGGAAGCGGCGATCAGCAACGTCAAGACAATGCTCTTCGCGGGACACGATACCACAAGCTCTACCATCTGCTACGCATACTACTACCTCGCCAAATCACCAGACTGTCTCGCCAAAATCAAACAGGAACACGAAGAAGTCTTCGGTCCAGATCCAAGCCAAGTCGCCGAAAAGATCATCGCAGAACCACATCTACTCAACAAGCTCGAATACACATTAGCCGTAACGAAAGAGGTCCTGCGACTAGACAGTCCGGCCAGTACAATCAGACTGGGCCGGCCTGGCTACACTCTTCACAACCCTGACACGGGAGAGAATATGCCGACTGAGAACTTCATGATCTGGCCTGTGAACGTAGGACTGCATCGAAATCCAAGGTACTGGCCTGAACCGGACAAATTCGACCCTGACCGCTTCGTGCCCGGATCGGCAGTCTACGCGCAGAATAACAAGGAGGCTTGGGTACCTTTTAGCAAGGGCTCGAGAAATTGTAAGTTTCACCACTTTGCTTCTCCCGATTTTAGGTCGGAAATCTCCATGCTGACACTCTCTCAATCGCAGGCATCGGCCAGGAACTCGCAATCATAGAGACCAAGATTATTCTGGCGATGACTTTGCGGACATTCGACTTCGAAGCAGCGTATGACGAAGTAGGGAAACTGAAAGGCGACAGAAGTGGATATCCGAGCTCGACAACTGGCGTGCAGACACAGTTTGGCGAAAGGGCGTATCAGATCCAATTGGGGACAGCAAAGCCTGCGGAAGGAATGCCTTGTCGTCTAACTTTGCTCGAGCAGAAATCGTAAAAAGGAGTGAGAATCATGTACAGATATTGGCGAAGACTGCTTGGAACGCAGCTCCCAATCACAAATCATCAGGTCAAACCCTCATTCAAACTGCCGCTCCGCAAGTGTATGCCAATCCAACTTCTGACTCTGCGTCTCAACCTCCGTCGACTTCGAATGGATGACGCCTAGTCAATCTGCACATCAGAATCGCGAGGGGCGAAAGTCCGCTGCGCCCACTTCTTCAACCGCTCTCGCTTTCCTGCACGTTCCGCTCCTGGCGAGGCAGCTTCTGTCGTATGAGCAGTCTTTGGCGACATATCTACATCGAAAGTATGGCGAAGGACTCCTTGGTTGTCAAACTCCGCTTTGTGGCATAGTCACCAGTCCGTAATCCATTCTCGCGCTCCACTGTCCCAGAATTCATCACAGGCGGCTTTGAGGCCAAAGTTCGGTCGTAGGTCTTCCTTTTTGAGAGGGTCTCTGTTTGCATGTTAGGTTTATTTGCGCCAAATCGATTGAGCTTCGGACGAAGATTCTCAGCGCCAGTGACTTACCTCGTCAAAGGATCCGTAGGCGTGCGTTTCAAATGCTCCAGTATCGTCGCTCGCTCATACGAATGCCCATTTTTCGTCATGACCGGGTCATGCATAGGTTCAAAGGTAATCATATCGATCAAATGATCGGGAATCTCACGCGGTTTGTTGTTCTGTGGATCGGCAATTTCGAAGACTGTGCGTAAGGTATTACTCTTATCCTCGTAGAGCTTCCGGATTTCTTCACTTCGTTCCGAAGCTTCAACTTGACCAAGTTCGCCACGATGCAGCTGTGCGGCGATCTCATCAGTCTCCTGCTGTCGTTGCCTTTCGAGCGTTTCTTCCAGTTCGGCTCGAAGCTCGCCTTGTCGCTTCAGTCGTTCTCGATCCCGAGCTCGGAACTTTTCTTTTTTGCATCTGAGGACGAAATTTGAGAAAGTTTGGAGATCTTGCGGGCTAATTTTCGCTGCGGGCGCTGGATGTAAGACTTGCTCGTAGGCTTTCAGTGCTGAGGAAAGTGCTTCATGAGGATGATGCATCGCCAGTTGCGCTTGCGCCAAGAAGTACCATGCCTTGTGGTTCTGCCCATTCGGTCCAGTGATTTCTATTGATTTGAGACAATCGTTTACCACATCATCCCATTTCTGTAGCTTCAGGCGGACATTGGCGCGATTCGTGAAGATTAACGGATTCCGCGAGTACTTCTGGACTGCCTGCTGCCTATTAGTAATCGAAGTCGCATCGCGATTTGCATGACAGTCGCGCGACTCTTCTTGCGCAACATTGTGCAAGCAACTCGACAGGCAGTACTTACTTGTGTGTAAAAGTCCTCGGCCTCGTGGTACTCCCCATTCCGGAAGGCAACATTGCCTTTCTCTTTGAGTTGCTCTGCCAAGTATGACATTCTTGGATGGGCGCACGCTTGCCTGTTCTTGTTATATGTTCAAGCGCGACATGGGAAGGCCAAAAGTACTTAGGGCGAGTGAGCGCCTAGGGATGTTGTTGCAGAGTACAGGTTGATGCAAAACATGTGTGAAACGTGAGGTTGAGTGGGGGGCTGTGCACGCGCTTTCTTCCATTTCCGGATTAAAGTTGCCGACTTATTCACTTTTCTAGAACTCGATAGAAGCAGCTTACTATATAAGACACGAGACGCCGCACATGACGGGAGCGGCTGATGTTGATAATGCGCCATGAACAAATATGATACTCGTGAACATCGGACAATTCGTCGCATTTCATAAGGCCGCAGCTCGTAATGAGCGCGGCAAAGCATCATTGCAAGCGCTAAGGTGCAATGAGGCACTTGCAATATCTATGACAGACCCAGCTCCTTGTAGAATGCCTCAGTGTTCGGCGGTCGTCCAAGGAACTGCTCTAGCGTGAGCATCTCGTCTTGACTTCCACCCTTTTCGAGCACCATGTGCCTGTAACGCCTGCCCTCCTTGCCGTTCATTGGATCAGCCTTGAAGATCGTGTAGAACATGTCTGCTGAGTACACCTGACTGGAGAGATAGCCGTAGTATCCAGCATCGTACCCACCGATCAGATGACCGAAGGTGGCTTGGCCATGGCCCCAGAGCCAACCTTCGCCAAGCGTCTCTGGTCCGTCAAGCTTGCTGATCTCGCTGCGCAACTTGTTGTACGTTTCAGAAGCGTCGAGGCCCTTGACCCAGTCGTGTGAAGGTGCTTCGTGCACGGTCATGTCAAAGATGCCAAAGTGCAGCTGGCGCAAATTAAAGAGGGCGTCGTTGACGTGGCGCGTGCTGATGATGGACTGTATGAGGTCGTCTGGCATCTCCGACTGCGCAGGCTTCTCCTTTCCGGTTTCCTTCCATGCGGCCTCGTATTCCGGTGACAGGTGCGACCAATGCTTGGAGAGCGATTTGATTTGGGATGGAGTCCAGCACCAGTTCTCCAGCATTTGGGATGGCGCCTCGACGAAGTCTCGGACAGTGGAAGTACCGTGGAAACGGCTGTACGTCGTCTTGGAAACAAGATCGTGAATGCCGTGCCCTAATTCGTGGAAGAGTGTGACAACCTCGTCATGCTTAAGCAGGGAAGGCTTCTTCGGTGTTGGCTTGCTGAAGTTGCAAACAAGAGCAGTAGCAGGATAGCGTCGTGTGCCGTTCTCAGTCATGAAGCCTGGCTGGATGTTAAAGTTTGCCGCGTGACCATATTTGCCTTCACGTGGGAAGAGGTCAAGATACAAATAGCCAACGAAGCCGCCGCCTTCACTCTCATCATCCCAGACAGAGAAGACTTGGACGTCGGGGTGCCAAACGATATCATCGCCCTTCCCCGTCTCTGAAATCTGGTCGCGATGCTCGCCTTGTACTTCGACAAAGTGCAGTCCGAAGATCTCTTCGAAGATGTTCAGCATGCCACTGATGGATGTCTGAATAGGGAAGTACTCAGAAATGCGGTTCTGATCGAGCTGGTAGTCGCGTTCAAGCATGAGAGTATCGTAGAATCGGTGGTCCCACAGATAGTAGTTGTCGCCATCAGCACCTTGCTTCTTCTTGAGCTCCTTGAGCTTCTCAATCTCCTTCAGGCCACCAGGTGCGAGTCTTTCGCGCAGGTCACCAAGAAAGTCGTCGACAGTCTTTGGCGTCTTGGCCATCTTATCCTCAATGCGGAAGGTAGCATGGTTGGGGTAGCCGAGCAGACGGGCACTCTCATCTCTGAGCACGATAGCCTCCTTGAACAGCTCAATGTTCTCCGGACATTTGTTTTCATTGGCAACGAATACCTTGCGCCGCGTTGCCTCGTTCTTCGCATACTTCAGCGTCGGGAAAAGGTCGGGGTACTTGAATGTCAGCCATAGCTTGCCCTCACTCGGTGTGCCTTCCTTGCCCTTCTGCAATCCGCTTGTGACATCCTCAGGTACGCCGTCTAGCTCTTCTGGTGTCAACCACAGTCCGCCCTTCTCCTCGTTGAGGTTCTTCTGAAATGTGATCGAGAGCTCAGACAGCCTCTTCTTGATCTCCTTGAAACGATCTCTATCAGGCCCAGCAGGAATGCCCAGACCCATTCGAATGTAGCCCTTGTGATCTTTCTCCAGCAACCGTCTGCTCTCAGCGTCCAACTTCTGGTCGTCCTTTTGCTTCTTGAACGCAGCATCGACAAGCTTGAAGATATCCTCGCGCATCGACGACTCGATGCTGAACTCGTCCATCAGCTTCTCGGCCTCCGTTGATGCATCTCTCAGCTTGGCATCTGTGGAAACTGCCTGGTAGAAGCCAATGATGTGTGCCTCCAGCGCCATATTGTTATCATCTTGGGCAAACGGCAGTTCGACGTTCTCGAACGTCGCCGTCTCAGGTGTGATGTCCTTGACGATTTTGTCCTGCAGTGCCTTGTTGGCGTCCAACAGGCGTTTCGTCCGCTCGATCACCGTCTCCGGAGTATGCGTGAAGACGGGTGGCGCCTGAGGCGGCTTCTTGAATGCCTTGCCCATTGTCGTCGATGTGGTGATGGGGCGTGTGGGGAAGCTGAAGGGTGCCTTTGGAACGGCGATCTGTTCCACGAGGAGCCGTAGGCGGGGCACTAGATTGTACAGCGCCACGATGAAGACCAGGCACAGGAGGGAGATGAGGAGGGGACGACGGAAGGGCGAACGCGAGGTGTAGATGCCTTTGGGAGGAGCCAGCTTGCCGGGGGTCTGAGTGACCACTCCACTTCCTTATAGGGTTCAGTATCAGCCACAGCGGCTCTGCGACACCTGAAGCCCCGACGATGCCAGACCGGGTTACGATTGTCCGGCTAGTGGTAGTTGTTGCCTCGTGCGAGTCTACAGTTGGCCTCGAGCTGCAGGTGTAGAAGAGAGATGCCAATCGGATTGAAGAGCAGCCACGAAACAACCCAGACCGCGATAGTGCCTGGGTTCAGCCGCACCGGGTGCGGTCGAAAGGTGGAGGTCAAGCCACAATGATCATGCTCCCGCCACAATGAGGGACATACAAGCCAATCGAGCACAGCGACGAACGATGATACGAGTAGACAGAGCAAACTCAGATGGACTGCATTGGTCTACTTCCGTAGGCTGGACACATCTCAGTCTCACGAAACTGAAACAATGAAGCCAAGGCATAAACAACATCCCTGCCTGCAGTTGCTCGCAAAAATACGAGATACGAAGCCTTGCCTTCAGACCACCCCCATCTCATGAGATGCACATGCACAAGGCAACATTCAGTCGTCCGATCCATATATGCACAAGACTCGGGAGCGATTAGTCGCGGCTAGGCGGCCTCTTACTTGATCAAATGACATCTCGACGGACTCTTGCCTAACGGCTGCCAGTACTTGCCACAGTGAGGAACACGTTCACACCAACGGACCACAGCACGAACGACAATACCCAGTCGGTAGGCTCAGACGAAGTACACTGGTCTACCGTAGCAAGCTGAACACGTCGCAGACTTCCGTGCTAGCGAGCTGATCTCACCCATCCCATACCTGTTTGTCCGCACCCTTTCACCCCCCTCTGCCCGCAGCTCCGTCCTTCTATACCTCAAGGTTCGCCGCAGTGCTTTAGATTTCCTCCTGTGCAGGAACACGAGGTCTCTCTCGTGTACGGATTGTAACAAGAATAGGCGGCAGTGCAGATAGTGCCCGGTATTGAACATAGCGTTAGACGCTTGAAGAGTGCTGACACGCGGTCTCGCTTGAGACTCATGTCCTGTTTCGCAAGCCAAAACCCCTTCGGCAGGATATGGCTCTCTGGTTCCTGACACCTTCCGTCGTCAACATCATTGCCGTCGACCTGTCAATGTTCATCTCTGGTAAGCGAATAAACCTTCTCGACTGTAGAGCTCATTATCACCAGCAAGCACGCCTGGTGAAGTATCGAATCTGTTCGCTTTTCTTTGGACGGATGCATGTACTGGATCACTTACCAAAGTCCATTTTCTTTGCTCGTAAGGGATGTCCGATTCCAAGACCGCGAGCTCAACGTTTGACAGACGAACGTAGTCGAGCACCAAACCACTGGCATCGAAGGCACGAGCGACTCCGTCATCTCCAAGGTGAAGCGCCATTCGGGTGTGATTCGCCAAGTCCATGAATCGCGCTTGGACTGCATCCTGATTTTTCGAACATTCAGCAAGACTCCAGGCCATTATGTGTTCAGAGATGGTGTGCATGACGATGGGACATCAACACCTACGAGAGAAGGCGCGGCACACGCGGCACCAAGCGTGAGAAGGATGATAAGAAGGGTGTTGGTGACGGCCATGTTCGGATAGCTAGAAGATCTGAGGAAGTGTTATGATTGTAGATTTGCAAAGTGATCCGGAGTTGCGGTCGGAGTCGCTGGGTATCGAGCGAAGATGGCAGCGCTTTATGGAACTCCTGCTCCGGCAATGATATATAGATTTGCCGACACATGGTGATGATAGGTTTACCTTCGTGGTCCAGCAAGCATGGTATCCTGCCTGTAAGTGCTGGACTACAGCCCTAATACTGCAGCCGTGGAACGGATGTAGGGCTGTGTATTAAACTTCTAAGCACACGCTCTTGCAATGCACCTTTGGGAACATCTCCGCTGCGTTCAATTGGCAGACATGGTCCTAGAAACACGCAGAGGCTGCCAATTGATTCGACATAGAGCAAGATCAATTTGCAATTGCCTCGCCTAGGGGGCGAGCTTGATACCCACTTTAGAAGAGCCCTATCTTCCGTTCTACAGCTGCAGTGTTGGGGCTGTAGACTGTCTACATGCAACGGGCGGGGAAGCTTGGGATGGCTACATGAAGTGTTGCTACCTGTGAAGCGCAAAAGATCGTCCATTCAAAGGCTGATATGTCATTCACAGGTTGATGTTACCAAATATCCAAGAGTCCTGTTGTGAAGGAGTTTGAGTTACCTGGTTCCATATTTTGGCGGCATGCATCGTGTATTCCATTCCGCGTTGTCGCCAAACAGAAATCAGTGATCGAATCGAGGTGATGAGCGATTCATGATGAGCAAAGTGAAGTTTGTACAGTCACAACCCTAGGCCCGATCGATAGTGTGCACAGTTCTGGCCCGTCTGAGAGGACAGTTTGATCGCCAGCAGCACCATTCCACAAAAGCTTGGACGAACAGCAGTGTAAGCCTAGGTGTATCACACGCCAACAGGGTGCGGCAGACTATCGATCGAGCTTGGGGTGGTGACTATATGCCGAAGAGCAGATGGCAGCCATATCGCAACGGTGGAGGCTCGAGGATAAGGTAGCAAATTACATGCACAGGTGCTGAGGTCACGGCGTATGCGGAGTCTGAAATGCTATGCTTGTCCACCAAGAAACGAGGAGAGAAAGGGGCGGTACCCTGACTCTTCTTGTGCCATCTCATATTCAGCAAAACGACATGCCCCGCCCTACAAAGTCGGCTTAAATAAGAGGCAAAAAGATGGCGGGTGCTGCAAAACCAAAAGAGAATTTCATGCTTTGACACATTCCCCTAATAGTTCGTTAGTTGCTGATGATCTGGATGCGCACGAGCAGTATTCACGTACCCTCACAGGCTTGAACTGTGAACCTCTCGATTGCAGAACACTGGGAAGTGTTGTAACAGTCGAACGCGCTAGCCAATTGCGCCAAGGAGGATGGAGGAGTCGATCTTGGATCGACTTCTCATTGGTAAATCATGCTTCTCCCAATGTGCTTACCATTCATGAGGGCTGTTTGTGGGTGCAGCTGGAAAGCATGCTCGATGTAAAGTCCAATAGATCCCGATCATCAGACGTATTCTGCTCAAGTCCGGTACTGATCGTGCGCTGCGCTTCGACGATGCAGATCGATTTTCGTGGGTCTGGTTCTGCTCCGTCAACACGTCGCGACGCGGCGCCGACGCGGGTCCGCCAGCTCTTGCTTCAGACCGTATGGATATCTTTGGAAAATGCCATCGTCCTCGGAGCTGGAGTACAGCCAGACAGGTTGTCTTTCAAGATATTGACGAGAGAGATATGTGTCGAATGTCGCAAGGTCGAGTAGCAGGAGCGAGAGGATGGGCCTCGGTCCACGAAGCGCGTCTCCACAAGATGCTCAACCACCTCACTGACGACTTTACACACATGGCTGTCTGACTCTTCTAGCAGTACTAGCACTGAATCAGCATAGACATGGGCTTCACTGACACATAGAGGCCTCTCGAAAATGGCGCCCATATCCCGCAAGCCTAAGCTCACCTATCCCGAGCCGCCAACCAAAGACTCCATCATCTCCTACCCAGCACCCGGCATTCTGCTCGTCCATTTGAACAAGCCCAAAGGCCTGAATTGCATCAATGCAGAGTTCACAGAAGAGCTGGAGAGAATATGGGAGTGGCTAGACAAAGAGCCAGCTTTCACTGTAGGCATCATCACCGGAACAGGCAGGGCATTCTGTGCGGGTGCGGATTTAAAAGGTAGGAGATATATGCATATGATGCGAAGAGGATAAGCGTCCGTGAGAGCGGCTAATGCCACGTAGAGTGGAACACATTGAACACTGCGAAGACGCCCAAGTCTATAAGTGGTAATGGATTCGGCGGGCTCTCTCGCCGGAGTGGAAAGAAGCCGGTCATCGCTGCTGTGAATGGCATATGTTTCGGTGGAGGCTGCGAGATGATTGTGAATTGTGATCTGGTTGTCGCTTCGCCCAAAGCGACGTTTGCTTTGCCGGAGGTCAAGGTTGGCGTTGTGGCTGCGGCAGGAGCTTTACCGCGTATTATCAGGACGATAGGTAGGCCGAGGGCCATGGAGATGGCTTTGACTGGGAGGACGGTGTCTGCTCAAGAGGCATTTGAGTGGGGACTGATCAACAAAGTCGTTGGTGACAAGGAAGGCGAGGTTGTGGAGGCTGCTGTGGAGTATGCGAGTCTGATTGCGGCGAACAGTCCGGATGCCGTGATTGTGAGTAGAGAAGGTATCAAACTTGGCTGGGAAGGTATGGGCGCTGAAAATGCTACCAAATACGCTCTTGAGAATTGGCAGCCGAAGTTGCAGGCTGGTGAGAACATGGCAGAGGGTGTGAGGGCTTTTGTTGAGAAGCGGAAGCCAAGGTGGAAGCCTTCGAAATTGTGATGATGCGAGGCACAGGAACAAGCTGGCTTTTCAAGTGGCTTTGTAGACAAGCCTCTGCGCAGTTGTATCGCAATGACAATGACATTGCCTCGACTATGTGCCTGCTGTTTGCTGCATGCACACCTCTTCAATTGTGTAATCAAAATTTGATTATCGGAACGGAATCCGAAGCGACCCCAACTTCGCCTCCTGCCAGTCCAGCCTGCTTTTCCGTTGACACAACCACTTCTCAACTTGTAACCACCTCAAGCCACGTCAGTACTGCTCCTCTCTGTTTGTTGCACTCCATGGAAATCTAACATGTGTTCAGGCCACTCGCCCGCGTGAGAGACATCGCAAATACAGCGTCCTCTAGGCCTGTGCAAGATCGATCCGCGATTGGTGCGGCCAGTCCGTATTATCAGCAACGCCTAAAATTTGACTCAAGACAATCGACCAACCCGGGCTTTGTCCGTCTTCGTGCAGGTCCCCAAGGTAGAGCCATTGCGCATGATACAAGTCAACACGCGACTCGCTCCTCTCCTTCGCACGCAATTTTCAGCTGCGCGCAAGAAGAAAATGTCAACCTACAACGTTGGGAACCTTCCCCGGATCACCCGTGAGGCTCTCGCGCCTTTGGTTCGCGAGCAGAACACTGGGCTGGCTGTGATCGATGTCCGCGACAGTGACTACATCGGTGGCCACATTCGGGGCTGTCAGAATGTGCCCACAGCCACGCATGATTACCGCATGCCGGAGTTGGTGCGGACGCTCAAAGAGAAAAACACCATCATCTTTCACTGCGCTTTATCGCAGCAGCGTGGACCATCAAGCGCCTTGAAGTATCTGCGCGAGCGTGAACGTTTGCATGGCAAGGACGCAGAGCAGAACCAGAAGGTTTACGTCTTGGACGGTGGTTTTCAGAAGTGGCAAGAAGAGTACGTTACCATGCTCTTGATGATATCTTGCAGTGTCGCTAATCTCTTTCCTAGGTACGGCGAGGACAAGGAGCTAACGGAAGGGTTCATCAAGGATCTTTGGGATAACTACTGAGATGCTCGTCCACTGCGTTGACTACCTGTTCGGGGGCTCCCATGATCGCAGGGCGCAGTAGACGAATTTCATAATGCGCAGTATCTCGCTATTTTGTTTTCTGTGAAGCGACCGTGCGGTTCCTTTGGCAACATCCTGCAGCTTCTAATAGACCAGAGCGTCATATGGGGCCAGCAAAGCTTCGCGCTCGCCACTGCAGGTAAGCTCAATATGGGTGAACGTAACGTTCGCGATTTGCACAGGGATCTCGAGCAAAAACAATGGGACTAAAGAAGGCAGCTGCACAGGTTTTACGGGCCTTGCTCTACAGCAGAAATAGCTGGTCACCTCACCCGCACCTGATGCCATGCCCGGCGTGCACTGCGATGAGAAGTAAATTGTCACTAAGCAATACCACATGGCTCTTGCTGGCTCTTGCTTGACGGGCCCTCTCTGGGAAAATCGCACGACGGACGACCTGCGTGCATGTGACGAAGGCCAAAATCAGCCAGCTCTCGACCGCGACAAGATTGTGTGTGATGGCCATGATCTACCAGAGCAACATACAGTGCATTCACGAGGGCAGCGCTTCGTAGTCGATGGCTCATGTTGGCGTTGACGGTGGGAAACGCATCCCACGGCACGTGGTTGTGCGGTGTGCGTCGGGTACTGACCGCTCAGGCTCATGACCCAGTGGCACGCATTCTCACCGCCATGATCAGACACTCATTCGGGGTGATGAGCAAACGCGACTCTCAATTCAGATGCTGCGGTTGTACTCGCGACTCAATTCCACAACTTCGAGTCGCGAATGTCTTGCCACTGGAACACGAGTTTTGAAACAGTGCAGTAACATGCACAGAGGTATCATGCAACCTTGGAGACATTTTAGACCTTTACCTGCGTGCGCGACAAACCACGCTGTCGTCACTGGTGGTGCGTGGCCTGTTGGCGGCCCTGAGTCAGCTCAGCCTGATCCAGTTTCTTTGTGCCTTAGAGACAAGGAGTCAGAAAGTAGTTCGGTAGCCACTGTGTTCTGCCTCAACAGTTGTACAACTCGTTGAATCAGGAAACTTCATTGGTTGACAAGGTTGGTGGCACGTCCTGGACGATCTGGTTGGCATTTGCCGGTTCGATCGTTTGCACTTGGCGTTTGACAAGCTGGAGGGGTCTCCAGCCGTGATTACCTGCATGCCTGCCTCGCACCTCAACGTCAAGCCATCAACAATATCTTCAAAAGCAGCGCTGCTTCACGAGTCCGCCGCATACTACCATTGTCGTATTGTCGTGAGTTCAGGCACTACGGCAGGCTGCACGTGCCACAACACAGGAGCTAGCTTCTTGGCGGATCGCATCTCGTTACCTTCTCTGGCGAATCTCAACCTCGACACATCCATCTCACGCCACTTTCACCAAGGTGCAGATATCCTACAGTACGGGCGACATCAAGACCTTTCTCCTTAAGCACCTTCAAGACGACGGTGCGCAACACATCCGCCGACTCGAAAATCTCGGTGTCAGGCTTCGGAACCTCCTGGAACCCGGATCAGGTCATACAGTGGACTCTGCTTTCATGTAGGTGACCCTCTGCACAGGCAAGATGACTTGCATGTTTGCACCTCACGATTGTGGACTGTTTGCTCCGCAAGAATGTCACATCTCGTATTTCTCATCGCTAACAATCAACCAGGGCCACCTCTAGGCAGAATCAAGGCGTGAGAGGCGATGACAAAGGCCTGACAAGCACGCGCATACGCTACCGTAGCCCTCCGCCACGTGAAGATGACGAAGTTCTGCAATATCTCACGGAGCACCGCAAGTCCAAGAATTTCCGACCCCGCCACACACCTCCGGATGTCTGCGCGGCCCAAGACCTGGCGCTAGGAAAAGCTCACATACTCGAGCTCGCCATCAGAAGCGCGCAGTCATCACGAAGAGACAGCGGCGTCAACGCCGAGCTATCGACCGAGAAGGCAAAGGATCTTGTTCCTGATCTAGAAGCCAGCAACGACGACTTCGCGGTCAAACCGCCACCGTCAGCATCCTCGCGACAATTTGCCACAACAAATCTCCTGGCCGCACCATCGATCGAATCAGGAGTGTCAGCCCGCGCACCGTCCCCCAAGCGACCATTTTCGGAAATCTCCTCGTCAGCCACGTCGCAAGATGACGGCGGGCCGGAGTATCGGCCCCAACCTTCACCGAGGAGAGCCTCGAGCAAGAAAGTAACACCCCAGCCCATGAAACCAGCACAACCTCGCTCACTCTCAGAGAAACGAATTCATCGTGGACGAAAAACTCCAGTGCGGCCTAGTGAGCTGCGCAATCTCGGAGTAGATGCTAAGGGATTGGATCCTACCCGGGAGGAACCTGTGGTGAGGAAGTTGTACTTGTCAAAGGGCAAGTGGTATGAAATCACCGGTGATGGACGACCGGATTGGGCGGAGGACGAAAAGGTACAGGTCGTCTCTGTTGCGGGACAGTCGTCTAAGCGGTCGAGAGCAAGTCTTAGTCGGCACTCGCAGTACTTGGACTAGTGGAGCAAGCATTGATGGTTTTCAAAAAAAAGGACATTGGCTCCAAAGATATGCGGTATGCTCTTCGCTGCCCACCGAAAGATCGACCGAGGACCTCTTACTCACGGCTCATCAGAGCCATGTGGCACCCCGGCCACGCTCAATCCGCATCAGCAACTCCGGTCTGATCTGATGACGCGTGACATTGAAGTGACCTCGGACGAGCGGTTGCTGAGAACACCACTACGCGCATGGCTGTTAAATTCCAGACAAAGGAGAATCAGAGGCTCAGGGACGTGTACGCGATCACTACACATGTCCGAGGTGCCGGGTGATGTTTGAGCATCGGCAGAAAGCGCTCCTCGAGGTTAGGAATCGTGGTGCATCAGGTCTCAATTTAATTGCACCACCTACGAGAACGACATAGGCACGCGGAAATGAACTCCGTATGCGTAGAAAAGCTCAAAAGGCCTTTGGAAATGCTGCCTGTATCCCGCTATCTATGCATATAGTCCCGCCATGCAATGCCGCCATAAATCATTCGCATCAATCGTTGCATCTTAAGTAGAGTTACTGTTGTCGTCGCAGCTCCATGGACTGGAACGATCCGAAGAGTTCACGATTCCAAGAATAGCACCATACGTGCCACCAACGGTAACGAAAGTACCTCCAATAACCATGAACAGACTGAAAGCGACTCCAGCATACCATGTCCAGCCACGATTAGGCCGCTTGAAGTTGTCGTACAAGTACATTAATCCTGTAGGTTGGAAGCAGGTGACAGTAGCCAAAAGCGCACCGACGAGCGAGAGAAGTTGGTCGAAGACTGGGATTCCGGATCCGATGAGGTATGCCACGATGGTAATTGTGGCAGTGCAGCCTAGCCAGGCCATCCAGTGGATTGGAGTGTTGGATGTCAAGTGTCGAGTGCCACGCATGAAGCGCATAAAGATTGTTTTAGCTGGCATGTGGACGAAGAGCATGCAGCTTGCGACCAGACCTGGCAGAGCGATTCCGTAGCAGATTCTCTTCATAAGAGCACCGGCAGATCCGAGGGCTGGGGAAGCGACGTATGAACCGCAGTAGTAGTAGACTACGATGCCAATGATGAGGTATACGACGGTCACGGCGCCCTGGGCAGTCAGGAGGGATCGTGTGTAGTGCTTTGGGTTTCGCATTTCAGCGTGGCAAGCGAAGAACGCCGGAAGGCAGGAGAAAGCGAACACGATCGTGGACACGGCCGAGATGCCTTGTGCGAAAGTGGGAGTCCTGGTCAGCTGGTAGTTGGACTCGTATGGTCCTTCTTGTGGTGCGGCTGCTGGGCGGTCCTGGACGCCGACAGCGATGGTCAATGTGAAAATTGCGCTCAGGATTCCGATCACGCCGGCCCATGCAATGAAGGAGACCTTGCCGAGAGTCTGGATACTGCCGAAGCTGAAACCAATGGCGGCGCCAACAACAACGAAGATGGCAGTGCAGGCACCGTGGACGGACACCGAGTTCAGGGCGATCGAAATACTCAGCATCGCAGATGCTGCAAGGAATGTAAAGTCTGTAACTGTCAGCAGGCGATCTCAAGTCTCATGGGTTGGTTGGCACTCACGGAGGACAAAGGCCCAGAAAAAGAATTCGCGTCCGATTCTGCCGGCGATGATTCGTCCGACATCGTCGATACCATAAACGTGTGGGTGGTTGATCTTGAACTGTCCAACCATCCAGGCAGCCCAAGTTGTCATAGTTGCGACTGTGAGGATAACGATCACTCCAGGTATCATGCCTAGCACGTCGAAAGCTCCTGGGAGACCCAAGACACCCAACCCGACCTGAGTCTTGAACATGAGGATAGCGCTTCCTGCCCAGCCAACCTGTATACCATGTAAGCAGACGCCGTGTCCATATGACATGTCACACCTACGTTCTTGTAATTTGGACCATCTTGCGAGAGCTCTCCGAAAGGATCTGATTCATTTGGATCCGCCCTGGGCTTGTTGGCATAGTCCTCGACATCTCCGACATCGCTCGTAGCGACAGGCGCAAGGCCATCCTCCTGCTGTTGCTGCTTCTTGTCCCCGAACATTTTGCACACCACGACCGCCCAGCGAGAAAGATGAGTGAAGTTGAGAAAAGAGTTGGCTAGTGCTGCGACCGGAAGGAGTGCGCAAAGTCTACTTTAAGAGCAGTCGCGGAGAACCAGGAAGGCTCCATCCACTATCGCTCGCGCTTGACGAAATCTGTTACTCAGAGTTTCAGGCATAGCGACACTGGCCCATGGGGAAAATGCCATTGCTGGTGGTCAGCAGCTGTGCACGGTCATGGAACGGCTACCGACGGTTTGTTGAAAAAGTGTGTCGCGCCTGCAAGGGTTCAATATCCACATGCAGGACATCATTGGAACCAGTTTCTGCTTAGCGCGAGATTATAGCTCTGATCTTGGCAGTGGTTGCATCTTCGTGCCTCTTTTCGCAGCTACTTCTGTAATCATTATCCCGGATTGTGCTTTTCTAGCGTACGCGTACTCGTCGTCTGGAGAGCGTTTGTGGCTGTGGCTGTCGTCGGGCTTGGAAGACTGCTTTGAAACCATTGTCTGGTTGCGGAGGAAGTTGCGAGGAAGGAAATCACCGACCGAGAACCGTCCGACTTGGCAGATGATCCGTTGCTGTAGGACACAACCGCAAGACACACGGCATGGTCTTGTTGCGCGTTGCCTTATCTAAGCCAGGACACTATGTGATAATGCATTCCAAAGTGTTACCCACCTTTGCACCTTGTGGGTACAATGTTGGAAAGTTTGCATCCAAGCCGTGGTTCGCAGCTTGGGTTTAAGCTTCGGATTGCTTGGTTTCTGTAGGATTCGCTTTTCGCATTTTCGGTCCTCACGCTGGCAGTTGTCGAGGCCAGGAGATTCCGACTCTGGACGTGTAGGATTGGGGTCGGGTCAACCGGTGACATACTGCAGTCGCAATAATGCCGATGCAGATCTCTTGGCTGTTGTACTTACTACCTGTGGCGATGAGAGAGTCTTTCGAATCTTGTCAACTCTCGCACGAGATTCTTATCGTGAAATCGCCGGTGCGCAGTCTCCCTGTGGCATCAATCCAGGTTTCCCCATTCTCCTATCAAGATACCATAAATTGGCATCTCAATCGTTGCACGATTCGGTGGCTTGGCAGCGCGTTATTAATATGCCCGATGCACGATTTGACCGGCATTCCACGTGGCGACACTGAACTTGTGAACTCGGTCCAAAATTCGGCTCAGCAGCCTGACTGTCGCGCGTCGAGGGCGTGCTGTTGTGCTGTGTCGCGTGCCAACAATTGCCATGAAGAGGCAGTGCTTCTGCCCTGGTCTGCGCCCTGTCGTGGACGATATGCCTGGAGTTGAACAGCTTCAATGTCGCCCCGGCTCTCCGTTGGACAGTTGTCGAAAGCATCCGATGCTGTGAAGCAGGTCTTCAACCGCCGACGACCCGTACCGTGCTGTCCCGGTGACTGCAAAATTCGGCGCTGCCATAGCTGCGTCCAGCACTTCGATGTAAGAGGTGCATTGTTGATTCTGAATCGACCACATCTCTTGCCATTGGGATCGGAAGAACATGACTGCTGCGAAGGTTGAAGTAGCAAAGTAAGATGACCACCGGGCCGAGGCACGTGCTCCTCAATGCCAAGCTGCACTTTCCGCTGTGCTTCAACTCTTTCCACGACAACAACATTTCCCAATGCACGCCCATCTGTCACCAACACGTACAGTGAAGACTGACGCGATGCTCCACGGAAACGTGCATCGGCGCTCTCCAGATGTGATGGCGTGCTCTGCGCGTCCGCGATTGAGCCGATCGCTGGACATATATACGGCACGTCGGACGACTTCTCGCCGCGATGAAATCCATTTGGCGCGGCATACCGAGTTCGGAGAGACGCGGTGACGGCAATGATGAACTTCAGAAAGACTCTCCTGGGCTTGTACGCGCTTGCTGCTGTGTGCGATGCGAAATCACTACCGAACATCGTCGTGGTCCTCACAGATGACCAGGATAATTGGGGTTCTCTAGACTACATGCCATTGCTCCAGAAGCATATCACCGACCATGGCACAAAGTTTGACAACCACTATTGCACGGTCTCGATCTGTTGCCCCAGCAGAGTGAATATTTGGACTGGTCTTACAGCACACAATACCAATGTCACTGACGTGTACGAACGATTTTCCCTTCCAGCGAGCTACAAGTCACTGACTATCCCAGATCTCCGCCGTATGGCGGCTATCCCAAGTTCGTGGAAAGGGGCTTCAACGATGACTGGCTGCCGGTCTGGTTACAGGCCCAAGGCTACAATACATACTACACTGGTGCGAGAATTCGCCACGAACAGAGATTTGATCTAACAACGCCTGCCAGGGAAATTATTCAACTCTCATAGCGTGGACAATTACAATGATCCTTTCGTGAAAGGCTTCAATGGATCGGACTTCCTTCTGGATCCTTACACATACACTTACTGGAATGCCACCATGAGTCGCAACTACGGGGTGCCTGTCAGCTATGAAGGGCAATATTCTCCTGATGTTGTGGCAGAGAAGACTTACGGCTGGCTCGATGAAGCTGTCTCGCACGAACAGCCCTTCTTCATCGTCGCAGCTCCAGTTGCACCACACAGTAATCAGGACCCGAAGGTGCCCGGTGTTATGTCAATACCCGAGTACGCGCCACGACACGCACATCTGCTCAAGAACTTTACTATTCCACGCACACCCAATTTCAACCCGGACGTACCTTCTGGAGTGAGCTGGGTGAAAGAGTTGCCGCAGCTCAACCAGACTGTTATCGATTACCACGACGAATACCAGCGAGCCAGGCTGCGAGCATTGCAGGCTGTAGATGAGATGGTCGAGCAGCTTGTCGAGAGGGTCGATGGGTACGGCTTGCTCGAGAACACATACTTCTTCTTCACCACCGACAATGGATATCATATCTCTCAACATCGATTGCCGCCCGGGAAGGAGTGTGCTTTCGAGACCGATATCCACATTCCACTTATTGTGAGAGGTCCGGGCATACCCGCCGGCAAGACTGCAGGTGTTGTAAGCTCGCACACTGACTTCACCCCCACGATTATGAAGCTTGCAGGTGTAGATCGGCCGGACCTAGATGGAGTTCCGATACCGCTGTCGCAAGGCGAGCTGTCTGAAGGATCTTTCGGTGAGCATGTGAACGTCGAATACTGGGGTAAAGCTCTCCCAGAGGGCAAGTACGGCAAGATCGGCAACGAGCCTTTTTCGCCTGGGCGACCGCCTATCTCTGCACGCAACAATACCTACAAGGCTCTTCGTCTTATTTCCGATGAGTACAGCTTGCTGTATACAGTCTGGTGCACTGGCGAGAAGGAGTTGTACGATACAGGCCGCGATCCCAGCCAGATTCACAACCTCCTTGGCAATCAAGGATCTGCGCTGTCTTCGGACTATGTGTTGCTTGGCCGATCCTTGGTGGATGTAACAGCACGTCTAGACGCTCTATTGCTCGTGCTCAAGTCCTGCAAAGCACGAAGCTGTCAGAGGCCATGGGAGTCTCTGCACCTTGACGGCAGTGTGCATACGCTGCAAGATGCACTGGACACGCGGTTCGATTCCTTCTACATCGACCAACCCAAGGTTAGCTTCTCTTCGTGCGCGTTGGGACAGATTCTTAGTGAAGAAGGTCCACAAGCTGTCAACGTCTGGGAGGAGGATAACTATGCAGCAAACTTTTCTGGCCATTCGTACTTGCGCGTTTGACAGCGCAATGAGCCGGACAACTTGCAGAATCATTCTACTCGCGAATGCACATGCGACATGAACGGAACAACGGCACTGCAGTCGGATCCTGGAGCAAGTTGATAGTTGAGCGACGACCCGAAAAGCAGTCGTGAAGAAAAATCTACAGAGACCCGCATACAGTCCCAACGCATACAACAAAGTGAGAAGAACGCAGGGTTCAATACTCCATATCTCGGTTTACAATCCTGAATGTAGCATACAGAACTTTTCTCAAGTATCGATCGCGCCATCCAGCTCCACGCTGGCACGAGTCTTGGCACAGCCTCGAACCAATTTATCCTAGTACCCTGCGACTAACTGCGTTCGCAGAACAACGCTTTGCCCAAGCTGTGTATACCGTGCAAGGATTCTACAGGAAGAGCTCGATCTCCGTCATCGGCCGCACCTGCTACATGATCCAGAGCTCGAAAGCCTATCGTGGCGGCCCGCGACACCGCTAATCAGACTCTTGCTATTTATCCTGCGAGTGACTAAGTACAAGAACAACACTTGATCGCTTTTGTCTGAGGATTTACGAAACTCTGCACTTGAAGTGTAGACCTCGGTCATGGCCACCACGGAAGAAGTTGAGGGACGACGACCTGCCAGTGCAAGCAGTGCTGATGATGAGTCAATTGACTCATTGGTCGACGAATTCGCACCTCTTTTGCCTAATGGTGCCGAGCCGTCAGTGCTATACCGGACTATAAGCGTGAGAGCATACACGCCAACTTATGTCGTGCTCGAGCTAATCGCTAGACAGAGAAGAAGTGATGCTGGAGATTTGCCGGCAGACGACAAGGATATCGAACTGGCCAAGAGGCGACATGATCGTGGGAAAGCATCTAGCAGCGTCTATGCTACCATTTCCGTGCTCCTGCTTGGTGTTTTCGTAGCTCAGGTCGATGCCAGTTTGGTGCTTGCCACATATGGAACTGTCGCATCCAGCTTCGGCGACCTCGATTCGGGATCATGGCTGCTCTCCGCATTCGTCCTTGCGCAGTGTGTTGCTCAGCCGCTCTATGGCAAGCTTTCGGACATCTATGGACGCAAGCATTGCTTACAGGCTGCATATATCCTCTTCGCGCTGGGCACCACTATCACCGGGCTCGGCCAAACCATGACCCAAGTTATCGGAGGACGAGTCGTGCAGGGCGCTGGATCTGCTGGAATTACGTCTCTGGTCTCGATCATCATTACAGATATGGTACCACTACATGAGGTCGCCACGATACGAAGCTATGTCAACATTCTTCAGACAAGTGGACGGAGCTGCGGTGGAGTCATTGGTGGCGCGTTGACTTACAGCCTCGGATGGCGTTGGGCTTTCTTGGTTCAAGTACCACCAATGCTGCTGTCGATGCTTCTTGTCCATTGCCGACTCGACCTTCCGAAACGACAGAGCTCGGGCCACACGCAACGGCAGAAACTGAAGCGGATTGATTTCCTAGGAGCTCTTTCGCTCTGCGCGGCGATCTTTGCAATTTGCTTCATGCTGGAAACAGGGGGCTCGCGGTTCCCATGGAAATCTGCTCCAATAATCGGCTCGGCCGTAGGGTTCGTGATGGCTCTGACCATCTTCACTGTCTCGGCCAACATCGTCGCTGAGCCTATCTTTCCGCTCCAGCTCTTGAGAAAGTGGGCAGTTTTGAGCAACTACAGCATAGCATTCTTGCAAGTCCTATTGCAATTCTCGCTCATGACGATCGTGCCGCTATACTTCCAAGTCACCAACAAGGCCAATACCGCGCAGGCTGGTGCATACTTGATTCCTGCTTTTGCGGGAAATACGATAGGAGGCCTGATCGCTGGATACTTCATTAAGCACACTGGACTTTACAAGCCAATGACTGTCATCTCACCGCTTTTCGGGGTATTATGCATGTCCTTGTGCCTCTTCTTGTGGAATGGTCATACTTCCACCGCCGAGGCACTGTACATCTTCCCGGGCGGTTTTGCGTCAGGTGCATCATCAAGCTCGATCTTCGTGGCACTGGCAGCTGGTGTTTCTGAGGAGGACCTTGCTATAACGGCTTCTGGGCTCTACCTCTTCTTCAACCTGGGCGCTGTTGCAGGTGCCAGTGCTGGAGCTGCGGTCTATCAAGGTGGTCTTAGAACAGGTTTGAGAGCTGCGTTGGAGGGAGTACCCGATGGCTCGGAAATCATGCAAAGAGCGCTTTCGGATATCACCTATGTTCAAAATGCGAGCGAGCAGATTCGGAAGCTGATCGTGCCTGCTTATGTTTACGGGCTGCATCAAGTCAACAGTAAGTTAGACTTTCTCCTGCGCTTTGAGTGAACTCATGCTGACTTTTACTGTAGTACAAAGCATCATCTGTGCTGCCATTTGCTTCGCTATAGCAGTGTTCACGCCAAGCTCACGTATAGGGAGGTAGCACTTTGTGACAGTTGACCCTAGTCGTAGCCTGTTAAGATACCAGGTCCTTAGGCGCCGAAGACTCCGATCTCATCGCCCCAAAGCACGAGCATGGAGTTCGCATTACTGAGTCGCGTCTCCACGTCTGCTTCCAAGACATCATTCAGAGTCCAGTGAAACAAGCTCTGGGCGTCTTCAGTATTACGCAGTTGCGTCTCCTGGCTGAGGATTGAATCCTTTCGTGCCATGTGCCAACAGCATGAATTCGGAATGTCGGATCCGGTCGACAAGGTGATCAATAGGATTGTGTGATTGATACGACCACAACCTCATCAACATAAACCGACACGGCGATTGGTGAAGTCGTAACGCTACGCCAGTTGAACGCGACTGGTACGACCCAACACCATCAACAGTCGACGTCGTCAGCCCAAATTTCGAAATGCACAAATGTACGAGACAACCCGAACACGGAACGAACTGGTTTCCGAGGCCGCCTAGTGATGCCAAGACCCAGCATTGCGCAGCGCGCAGCCTTGAAGCTCCACAATTTCTCAGCGCTTGTCAGCAGCCGGTCGTAGCCCGTCCTATAATTGACGACACACAGCAACGACGAGAAACGAGAATCTCTTAGTAAACCCTTCCTGCCCAGCACCTTCTTACGCAGCAGTCGGGAATGCCATGCGGTTGGCATGCATGCATCCGGGGAGGCTGTGTAGAAGATTCCTGATGATGACGACCAGCCATTCATCGTGATTCTGGTGATACCATACATAGCGATACCGATGCAAGGTACTAGTAGTTTCTACACGTGCTGCTCTCCCTTACTTCGGCCTTATTCTCACAACCAATTTGACGTCTGTCTCTTCTTTTGGTACCTGCTGAGAAAGTCTCCTGCCACTGTGCCACCTTCAAGATGGCTATGAGCCCATTTGCCGTCATCGCAATTGTACTTGCTTGCGCAGGCGCAGCAGTCATGATCGGGGTAGCTCTCACGCATTCGTACATGAGAGCCAGAAATGCGAAGACTCTAAACGCCACCGAACAAGTACGGGATAACTCGCAAAGAGGGTATATGACAGATGTGAGGGAGAGAAATGTGAGGGATATGATGCTGGAGTATGGATGGCAGGATTATGCCCCTCCAAAGCGACCGCAGATGAACATGAGGACGGACACGGATGATAGTATGGGAACCTCGAGATGAATTGTCTCCGGATGGACAGGAATGAAGCTGGCTTCTTCTGTAAGTGATGGCGCTCGTTGGTCGTTTTGTTCGTGACTGATTGGTGTACAGTGAAACGAAATTTATGATGCGAAAGACTTATGACGGACTTGGGAACGTCTTCGTCAGGTTGGCCACACGAGGAGAATCTTCGAGGATCACAGGCTGTCGAACTTGCTACTATAATCGGAGCAGCCGGAATCGCAACACGCTCGACAAGATAGCAGGGGAAGAGAGACCTCGTAGCATCGAACGGCAAGTCTCGTTGAGAAGGACTACATCGGCGGGAGTCTCTTGGCCATGCCGCTGTTCTGGCAGGCCATGACTACATCGGGCTCGAGAAGCAGGTCCTCGGACGGCACGCAGATCACTGTCACGCCGGAAGACCGCAAGATGCTAGCGATGATCATGATTGTGCTTTCGAAGTGCGTTCCAGGGGAGAACCGTTCCCCGACACTTAGAAGGTACCCGAAGCCCGCAGCCAAAGCTCCAACTACGCACGGTGGAGGTTGTGATCCGGATCCGGAGCAATGGGCGTATCTCTCACGAGTAACACAGCTAGTTTCTCAAACGCGAGCCACATATTCGGCGGCGGCCTACTTTGGCACGTTGGCTGGGCAGAGACCATGTCAGCATAGGCAAAGGTCAAATGGTGTCATATCGCGAAGATCTTTGGTCGTGTCCAGTAACATGCGGCTGGACACGAGAGACCTGAGCAGGTCCTGATCGCAGTGTGTTTGCTCGACGACAAAATCTCCGGCAACTGGCGCAATGAGGCATGATACAATAGCCTCGCAAGATGTGATGAGAAATAAATGTAGGCATTATGACATAGATCCTTTGTGAATAAAATAGACGTGCGGCTTTAGAGTGTAGCCCATGCAGATGAACTATGCCGACCAAGCAAAATCCACCAGAACCGCATTATGATCCGACAGTCTATCTCCATTCGGTTGCAAGAATCTGTCCGTAACATAGGCATGATTCGCGGCCGACAAGATGACACTCGCGCCAGAGCGATATAGCACCTTATCGATCGCTTCGCATGTCTGGTTGGTAGTGGGATCTGTGCATTCTGGTGCGTTGGCTGGTATCGTTCCGCCTTGAATAAGGTCGACCCAGGCGTCTCTTAGGCCGTTCTGCGTGCCCAAAATGCGAATATTGTCTTGGGCCCTCGAATATAGAGTATTCGTGTCGCCAAAGACAATGACTGCTTGACCCGCTGAGACGAAAGTGATGTGGTTGCTCAACTGCTCGATGTTGGATCTCCTGGCTTCAAAATCCTGTTCTTCGTTGCCTGCTTCCGCGTGAAGATTGTAAAAATCGATAGTGACGCCTTCGGCCACTTCCATGCGCATGTAAGTGAAGCCTTTTGGCGTCAAGCAATCTGCTTCATTGATGAAACAGCGATCCCACTTGATTCTTCGTAAGTCGCTCCACCCGAAGTTGGCAAGAGTATTGAGTCCACTGCCGAATGGCACATTTCCCGTGGTTTTGGTGCGGAATTTGTGATTGTCATTATCGTAGATTTCGTCATTGTAGGCGAAGTCTTCCTGAACGTGAATGACATCGTATGCTCCAGCAGCGAATTTCTGTCCTATCTGCTTGGCAGCCGCCTCCTTGCCCCCAGGAATGCCATTGTCGGCGAGAAATTCGGGTAGTCCAGCAACGTTGAAGGCCAAGACATTAAATGTGCCAGCCGACACCGCCAAGGCAGTACGGATTGCAGTCGCTAAGGCGAGAAGGCCGGAGAGCTTCATTGTGAATATCTGTCGTCCCTGGAGAAATCAACATTCATGATGGGCTCCGTGAAGTGCTTTTAAGTATGGCGTGCCAAGGAACTCGTAAGTTTGCTGGTACCACGGTCGTCATCTGCGACCTCCGTGAATATAAGAACTCAACGTGTCGCTTATGCTTGCATGTCGTTCGTCAAGCCCACGACGTTGCAGACGGTTGTCATTTATGGCCCCGTGGTACTGCTGGTCGCACCAATAAAACTCAGTGGGGTGACCACGAGTCGAGAGATCTGCAAGATCGTCACTGCAGATGTCTTGGCGTATGTCCCATTTGAGCAGTCGAGCTACAAACTGCTCATGCGCACTCGGCTATGGAGAGCCTAGTGCTGTTGCTGTTCCAGACGATCGCTTGAATACGCATAAGATGCTAACGGAGCCCACTGTGAAGCTCTTCCCAATCGGCCGGCAGCCTATAGTCCCGTGGAAGGACATACTGGCCTCTGCATCGCCTCGGCGAATCGCAATTCTGCAAGTCACATTTCCCGTACAGACGGCAGTAGCAGGCCTGAGCTGAAGGGCAAGCCTGAGCATTGAGAGCCTGGAGACTTGTGTGGCTGTCCGGAGAAGCCAAGAATAACATATGCCAGACGTAGGACAAGATACGCCCTGCTATACGGTCATCAGAAGGAGCCACGCCATCATCAAGAAGCCACTGTCGGAGAGCGCTGTACTCGTCGCGGGAATGTCGCCAAATGGCCTCGCGTGAGACTGCGAATTGTGCACAACATTGAGCACGAACAGCATCGCTCCGCCGGAGAAGCGCCTGAGACTTGTCGCCCTCTGTGCTGCCATCGAAAAGCAGTTGAAGGGCTTTGGGAAGTGCTGCATCGGATACGGCGCGTCTGCTCCACGGCTGCAATTTCGACGAAAGAAGGGTCTCGAGACTGCCTTGAGGTTGTGCTTGCAACGGACTGCAGGTACCAGCGCTCCAGTCACAACGTAGGTTCGTATAGCCATCATGCTGAAGAGCCGAGCTCAGATTCAAGGCCTTCAGCAAGGCCTCGTTATCGTAGTCCGGCGAATCATTATGCCATGCAAATCTGGACCCGTGGACAAATACTGCGCCAGCTTCGGGGATGTTTTCATAGTTGTCGATCATGAATGTCAAGTAGGCCATGGCCTCATGACCACGATTGGCGGGGATCTGAAGACTTCTGGAGGTCCGATCCAATGGGGCGTCGGCCGTATATACACAGAGGTGATAGTACGATGCCAGTTGGTCCAGCCACTTGGTGTCCTCTGACTCAACTCGAGCCACCACTAAGGCAGGCTTGCTGCCGTCTTCGAGGCCCGGACAAATACCACGAGCCTCAGGTAAGCTGCTGGCCTTTGACCTGTAACGGATCCGAGCCCAGTCATATTGTTTATCGCCTCCAGACGGCCAGAGATTCAGCAGGAGGACGGCGGTGAGCACAGACGCAAATGCGATAGCCTGCGCGTACGCAAGATACTTCTTAGTGATGCGTTTCATGGTGCTGTGCTAGGCCCTACGGCATCCGGTATACTCTGGAGTCTAGTGATGATGAGAGATACGATAGAAAGGCAGGTGAGGTCTACAATCTGCTTCGTCAGCGCTATCGCATCGCACGCCGGGAACAATCTGCTGCAGGATCGTCAGAACCTAACATGCCGGCATGCCGGAAACGCGTGCCTGTTGCTTCCGGACATGACAGGCGACGCCAGCCAATCGCAAGGACAACCCAGTCTTGTGCATTGCATTATTCTCAGGCCGTCATCTGATATCATTGTCAGCACGTCCGAGAAAGAGCAGCGCAAAGCTCATTCATCAGAAATTTGCAGAGACCCATCGGAGCAGTGAGACTAGTTAGCGCATTTTGGGCATCGTGATGACCGAGGAGCAGCAGTAGGACTTCGACGCGGTTCCAGCGCCCACATCTTCCCACCGATATCAGTGCTTAGCAGTGCCAGCAATCTTGCACTCGATCTGCGAGACGCGCTCGAAGTCGCTCTGGCACAGCATCTTGGAACTCGTTTCCGCGCGACGAAAGCGGTCGAATTTACCCACCTCTTGACGCGGTCGGTCTGCGCGCGGCAGAACTTGCGATTCCGCGCCAGACGCGTCAAAACAGACACAAAAAAGAGAAGGCAATGATAACAGAAGGAGGATGAAGAGGAAGAAGTTCAACGTGGAAGGGTGATGTTGTTCTTGATCTCAACGGACAAGCTTCACCAAGCCTCGAGCCAAGAGCAATTCCACTATTCCACCGACAATACCGAGAGTGACCACTTGTCTAAACGAGGGCGCAACATGAGCAGAAAATTCCCGATCGCGCGTGGAATGGACTACAAGGGGAACAAGTGCTAATACAGGGACTTACAAGAGGTCGGTATCCAGATCGTGCTCTACCCATCAACGACCTCATTCGAGACACCATTCCTGGCTGCTTTCTCGCCGTTCACAGCACCTCTCTTCTTCAACTCCCCTCTGACCCTCGGCAAGACATGTCGGCCATAATCAATGGCATCGTTCAAGTTGTCATACCCACGGATCGAGATCAAATCACAGCCCAAGTCAACATAATCCAAGATCGAATCAGCCACAGTCTGGTATGATCCCACCAGTGCGGTAGAAGCTCCACGAGCGTTTGTCGCAGTCACAGTCGGATACCACAGTGCGCGATCTTGCACCTCTCCTTTTTGAGCAATCTCCAGCAATCTTTGCGATCCGACATTTTGTGGTGCTGGCGCTCCAGGCGGCACCTTCCCTTGACCAGCTGCCCGATTCGTCTTCAAGCGATCCAGAGTGCGATACGCCTTCTGCCACGCGAGATCGTCTGTCTCGGCGACAATGGGTCTAAATGTGACCCAGATTCGTGGCCTGTCTTTTCGCCCCGCCTTCTCCGCCTCGGCGTATATGCGATCGATCTGCTGCTTCGTCTCTTTCAATGGCTCTCCCCAAAGCCCAAAGATATCTGCCAGCGATCCTCCAACACGGTATGCCTCGTCCGAGGAGCCTCCGACTGAGATGGGAATGCTGCTACCGTTCACTGGACGCACCCGGGTGCTGAATTGCTCGAACTGGTAGTATGTACCCTCCCAGTCAAAAGGTTCTGGAGAAGCCCAGGCACGTTTCAGGATCTTGATGTACTCTTCGAGTCTGGCGTAGCGCTCTTCTTTGGGCAAGAAGTCACCTTCCCTGGCCTGTTCCACATCACTTCCACCCGCGATAAAGTGGACTACAGCTCGGCCATTGCTAAGCTGATCCAAAGTTGCAAGTGCTTTCGCAGCTACTGTTGGGTAGACTGTGTTTGGCCTAAGTGCAATGATGACCTTGAGCTGATTCGTCACTGCGGCGATGGTGGCTCCGGTTGTGAAAGGGTCGAATGACCCAGAGTCGTAGGGCTGAAGTGTGTAGTTGAACCCATAGTCGTCCAAGTTGCGAGCATACTTCTTCAAGAAGTCTGGATCAACTCCAGCTCCAGGAATAGGCTCGAGCTCCGTGGAGGCATTGGGAAATGCCAAGCTTATGAATTCGACTGGCATGGTTGGAAGTTTTGTTGGCTCGCGATTTGTTGCGTCACAAGCTTTGGGAATGTCATTGGGCTTTCCGCAGGTGCATTATACATGAGTTGCATTGCTGACAAAAGTATTGCGCGAACTGCAGCTCGATCACGCCTTGCGAGCGTAGTGGACCATGGACCTCGAACGCATCCCCACCCGACGTCGGACCGACAGCCCGATAACACTATTGCTGGGTGAACTGCAATCACCTCACCTCCAGGTTTGTATTTGTCTGGACGAAATGGAGTCGGCTATCAGGCAACATATCTCGTTCATGCTAATCTTGCACTGTAGGATGCACTAGAGCGATCAATCGTACGGTGAACACATCTCGTAACGCTCAATCCCCCACAGCAAGCATACTGTGCTGGAACATGGAAACATCCGCTCTCTCGAGGTCAAGCAGAGTGCATTTCTCCGGACAAATCGCAATAATTTTGATCCGGATCAGGGCCACCTCGCGACAATGCGCAGCACAGATTTGCAGGAAATCGCGATATGGCAGTCTTGCTTCCGATATCAGCGACCAACATTCCTGTCTGTCCGCCTCCACGATGCCTTCCTCAATATCGCCTCTGTTCGCATGCTGTGTGGTCGCGAGGGCAATGTCAAAGACTTCTTGCTTTGGGTTGATGAGCTGAGTAGGACAGGTGTCAAGTGCTGAGCTTGCTTGGCTTGCTCGATCTTGCACTGCAACACCAGTAAGTACAGTACAATGGCCGTCTCGTTGAACATCGGCTTCGCCTACTGTACGTTGATACTGATCCTCCTCGACATCAGTCAGCTTCATCGAGCTGACCAGTCACCAGTCTGTTCTCGAATTCGTTCTCGGTACCACATACTGCCTCATGAACGGCCTCCTCTTGCGCGCGCTTCTCGCACTGCATTGCAGTCTTCGCACTCATCCCATTTTTTGCGTTCCTCCTCCTCCAGTGCTTCCTTCAAATCGTCAAGTTCCTGCTTCAGTTCCGCCATAGCTGTGTCCATCTTCTCGTCCTCGCCGGCAGGATTCCAGCGACGCACAATTCGCCAAAGTGTATGGGCCTCCAAGTGGCATTCACTGGCTTCAGCCAAGTCCCCGAGCGTATTGCCAAGCAGAGTAAGTGTTTTGATGCGGAGAAGGCGAGGACAGGCACCTTCTGCAAGAATTTCTTTTGCCTTGGTGATGCACTCCTCGAGCTTATCGTCGTCCCACAATTTGGCTGCTTCGTTGTACGCGTCGCAGAACGCTCTGTCGATGATGGCACTCATGCTCGGGATGTGAAGTGGCACGGTTTGGATTGGAAGTCTGTGTTGGAGAGAAGATGATTTTGGAGTCAAGCCGCGTTCTTTCTTCGTTCACACGGTGCAGGTGGCGATCTTGAGATCGTTGTCGACGGTGTGTGGCGCGCAGGAAGCACAAACTGACGAGAGACAGTTGCGCTGAGTAGCCGGATGAGTTCCGAAGCAGTGAGGAGCAGGATGACTTTAGAAGAGGAGTGATAGCACTTGACGTCGCGTTTATCTCGACCGTTGTAAAAAGTGGGTCAAGTAAAGATGCGACGAAGTGCAGAAGGAAGGAACAAACAACCATCACTGCTTGAGAATTTTGTTCTGCCGCGGAGATCGAATGCATGCTGAAGCCCTACGGTCTCCTTTCTGACCAGCTCGTTGCTTATCTATTGCCAACAACGCTGGCTCTACAACCAGTCCGAACTGAAATATACCATCGTGTGAACACTTGAAACTTGCGGCAGACACCAAGGCGACGAAGCTGGCACTACCAGTCGAGGTTCGAATACATCTCAGAAAGCCACACCTCCATCCAAGCGTACCAGATGTGCCAACGCGCCGGCTCGCATGAGACTCTGTGGTATTCCTATGCTATCACTTACCAAAAAGTTGCCTGGTGCGGAAGAGGAGCCTGAAGTAGAGAAAGACCTAACGCACCAAACAGAGGGATCAGAGCCTCCCGAAAAGCGAGCAAAGAAGAGCAACGAGAAAACCCAACCGAGCGAATGCATACTATTTCTTCGCATAATTTCGACATTGATAACGAACTTCAGAAGTACGATATTGACCTCGAACACATGTATGAAAGTTTCAAGCAATTCTGTACATGGTCCAAAGACAATGGCTTGAGAAGAAAGGAGGCTTATGCTTACACCGCTAGCTGCGCATAAGCTTAGCTTGTCCTCGACATGGGACCATGGAAGCCAGATGAGTGTCTGTAGGAGCTGGTTGAATCTGATGTATAGTTCAACTTGCCGCCCCGGCCTGACGCTACCACTACGTGACGATGGTTTATACTTGCTCTCCACACCGCGGACCCGAACTCACAGGATGTCCAGAAAGCGCACACCTTTCTCTGGAGTGGTGAAGACTGCTGGGCAGCCCAGGATAGCTATGGCCAGGAGCGTGCAGTAACGGGCTGGCCGAGACTCGACATCTATGTCGACGAGGGATTGCAGATGATCAGCTCCCATTCCGAATGAAAGACAGGAGCCTCTGCTCCTGATGTAGCCGAAGCGGCGCGAGAGTGCTGCCGAGAATTGTCTGAGACACAACGAGATGGAACTCCTGCCAGCCACTTTAGGTAAACAGAGAGCACACCTTTCTCTGGATCGCACGGGCTTTCTAGCCTACGAGGCTAGCCACGGCGAGAATGCCCCACAGGCTTTGATCCAGAGACATAGCAGCGGGCTCCGTGCTTTCTCTTAAGAGAGAGGGAGGTCTCTGCTCCCCAGTCTGGCGATGCAAGGGAAGGATATTGCTAGAGCTCGAGTGAGCGATCACCAGGAAGTACACCTTTCTCTGAGAGAATGAAAGTTTTCTAGCTCACGAGACTAGCTACGGCAAAGAAGAAACCTCAGCCCTTGGTTTAGAGACATAGCCGCAGGTACCACTCTCTCCGGTTCAAGGTGGAGTCCCTGCCTCTCAGTCTAGCGTTGGGACGGGAGACCGCATCACTCTTTAGACGAAGCAACTTAAGTATACTCCTCCCCAGACAATCCAAAATTATCCCTCCTCAGACCAGAGGCACCTCACGGTAGTGCGTGGCATACATGCGCATGTTGCCAATCTGACAGTCCTGCTTGAGCCTCCTCTCCAAAAGCGTTGGATCAGCATAGTAGAACGGCTCCAGGCCCCAACCAAAAGTCATGACACCGTTCGCGATGATATCACCACGACCGGCTTTGCCAGTACTGAAGTCGACGCAAATCTCCGTGGCGTTGTATTCAAGGACATAGTCGCTGAGGGAACTTGCAATCAGCTCCACAGTTGCGGGTGACTTGTTGAAGTGATCATAAGCCTCGCTGCTGAGAGAAAGCCAGTAGAAGTTGCCGACGATTCCGCTGACGTTGAATTGGGCGTTGCCTTGCTGGACAGAGCGCGGGGCGTCCACATTCTGATCCACTGGCGATGCTTCCTGGTATGCAGCAAGAAAATCCTGTGTGAGATTCTTGATAATGGCATTGAGGCATGGTTTGGTCTTGTCTGTGTTGCCTTTGCTGCTCCAGCTGCAAGTTGTTTCAGCGATAAAGTTGTCGTGCGAAAGCACACTGAGCACGACGCTGTCCTCTTCGCCGATGGCAAGCGGAATGGCTGCAACAGTGCCCAGTACGATAGATAGGGCGGCAAGCTTCATGTTTGTTGTCGTCGGAGATCGTGAGTTGTGTACGAATGGATGAGTGTGCTTGGGCCGCTGGAAGGCGGCTGCGGAGGATCTTTATCATGGTAATCGGCTTTGTCGCCTTCTCAGCAGGACTTGCACGAGACCGATAGCTTTACTACCATGCTACACAGATTCTGGATCATGTGTGCACGAGATGGTGTTGCAACAGCTCGTCTATGCCGTACACCTGTCACCAGCGCCTCAAGGCAACGCTGTGATAAGTACCGTCAAGGCGATCGCTCAAATAGCTTAGCCAAATAGTTCCCAGAAAATCATGTGTACGTCTACAAGCTTGTCAGTCAGGTATTGGATAATCGATGCGGGCGTCCCATGACATACCATGTTCAGTGTCCACAAGATCCCAAGTGTAAGGTAAACTCGATGTTTGAGCTTTCGTGGCCATATTCCGACTCGGTATGGTTTCAAATCTCCGCCGATCCACGTCGTCGGTATGCCACTTGCCTTCTCGCTTGTGCTTGCTTCGGGCATTGTGTCGATGCCCTCATTGGCGAGAAGACCCATTTCGACCTCCTCAAGTGGTCTACTTGTGGCTGCTGGTACACGCTCCGTTATTGGCTCCTCCTTGATGAACCAGTTGGTGATGACACCTGTAGCATCTCCAACAATGCTACACGCAACCAAGTAGAGCGGTGTAAGCAATACGATGTCTCGCCACCTGTCTGCCAAGAATGTCTCGTTTCCATGAAAGAAACCGGCGCGAAGCACTGCCTCCTGATCGTTCGCGAGCCACAGATGATCTTGCAGGACGTACATCTCCAGTGAATATCTTCCAAGCCAGGCGAACGCAGCAGAACGCCAGTTACGCAGTACAGGATGGGCGTTGCGCAAGACAGCGAAGCTTAGAATCGGTAATGCTGTGGAGTAGGGCTGCAGCTTTGTCCAATGCCTCTCGTTCGGGATGTGTTTCGCAGTCCAGTACCAGAAAAGAACCTGAGCTAGGGCGGCAGTTGCGACAGAGAACGGCTTGAGTACTGGCCAAGCTTTTTGGAAAGCGTTGTTAAATCTGCCCGTATGCTCGTGCTTTTCCACTGTAGACCGAACGTAGATGTAGAGCATACCAGTGACCATTCCAACGAACACAATGTACTTATCTTGCTCGACGCGATGACCAAAGAACTCATCAGAGTCGAACCTCATCTTGCATGTAAGCTGGAAGAAGTGGACCACAGTTCTGGGAAGGTCTTTCGTACTCAGGAACGTATTGAGGAGTACGGCCGCTGTTGTGATCTTCGCCAAGAGGAAAAGGACATACTCATTGTAACGGCGTCCGATCGCAAGTGTAGCGTACACTACCAGAAAGTTGAAGGTTGACAAAGGCAGGTAGTAGTACAAGATCCAGCTAGTCCGCATCACATAGGTCAATGCAACGGGTAATAGGTTCGTACGAATCATGACGTTGCAGAATCTCTTCAGGGAATAGTCCTTCTTCTGCAAGAAGTATACCGTATGTCCGAAGCCAGTGAGGAAGAGGTAGGATGCCACACTGAGGCGGATGACCTCCCAGAAAGGGGGTAATTTCCAGCCTTTGTTGTAGTGGTAGATGATAATCAGAGCTTGCATCCAGCCTTTCCACTCGTCAGTTTGGTCGCGTGGCAGGAACGGCTGGCTTTGTGGTGCCTCGCCAGGCTTGGATTTGATGGCACTTCTGCGAACTGTCGCGAAACCAATCAAGAATGTGACGATGATCATCAAGAACAGAGTGGGTTTGACCAGCCCCAGACGTGTTCCGTGCTCAAAGATGTGCGTCCGATCTGCGATCCACGAAGAAGCCAGCACAGCGGTCAATGCACAAAATGCTCGCATTACCGGCCGCGCTGAGTCGGACAGGAGTTGCAGCTTGAAGTCAACGATGGTTACCAGGGGCAGTATGGCAAAACCGAGCAGAAGAAGAGCGATCTGTATCCAGTTGGGCCCTCGCCAGGCTCCGCAACAGATGGCGTTGTTGTTGGAGTTCATCTTGCTACCCACTTTCGCATTGCACCGAAAATTCAGCAGCAAGTCCACGCGTTTCTTGATAATTTTGTCCGCTACGCGCGGCCCATCCGCCTTATACAGATCTTGACGGCCACTGACCATGTCGCGAAAGCTCCAGAGTATGTTGACATGTTCCAGCGCCTCCAGTTTGGTATTCAGCTCGTGAAAGGGTTCGTTCTTCGTACTCCCATTATTGTACGGTTCTTCAGCAGGAGTGAAGAGGACAAGGTCGCCGGGTCCCCGTTCGTGGGTGAAAAGACCCTTTGCAGGGGACGTCTGATATTTCGAGGCCAGTTCACCGACTATGGCCGCATACCGCTCAGCCATTCCCCGTTCCGCATAGGTGTTGCCTGCGCCGACGACTGCCAGCAACGGCGGCCTTCTTTCCTGCTCATGTTCGGAAGCAAAGCTGTCGATGAGGCTGATTCTGTTCAGTTGTGGATCGTAAAAATACTGCACCGTGATATTGTCTTTGGAGATCGACAGATCTTGTTCACGGTCGTCCGGGACCTCGATGTCATGCTTAAGACGCCTGCCAAGTTGGAAATATAGCCGTTGCACATGGAGGTCGCCAATGAGCGTGAATCGGCGCGTCTCGTTGCCCACACATTGTTTGATATGTTTACCATCATAGGGTATCGTGGTGCAACCAGGAATCAGCCAACTTTTCCCGTTGTACCACTGTCCCTCCGAGACCAATGCTTGACATTTGTTCGGGTCGGTATCTATAAGATAGTCAGTAGACGATATGGCTGATCTTATTGGCACGGGTACTTGCCGAACACGAAATGATTAAAGAATACGAGGGAGACAAGTGAAATCAAGAACAAGCCAAGGAAAGGGCGAGGAGACGCAGCCCAGCTGCGCCAGATGGATTTGACATTACTTTCGTGTGTCATTTGAAGGCGCACCCAAATGATCGTAAGACACTGAGCATTAGGAACCTGAAATGCGAGAAGTTCAATGGCAAAAACGAGTCGAGATGAGGAGAAGAGGTAGTCTGGACGGAGGAATGCAAGACCACGCGACGTCGCGACTCATGTCGCAAAAGTGTAGTTCGGCCCCTGGCTGGGCGCCCTTGTAGTTGAAGGCGTCAATGGCTGCTGGTGGCTGTAGTAGACAGATGAGCCCACCGCATATCACCCTATTCGCACGCGCAGTGGAGTCCGCAACCTGTACGAGCAGTCCGCTGGGTCGGCGGCCAAGAGGAGCTGACGAACATATGGGGCTGGCGGCGGGGATCGGGCTGCTGGTTGATGAGGGCGACAGTTGCGAAAATGTCACCTGGTGTATGGACGAGTGTAGTTTCGCGTTGGCAGCCCCATTCCAAGTGGCTACAGGAGCCGACATTGTGGCTTGGCCAGACCCGAGATTGGCCGTGGCTTGGCGATCTCCATCCCAGTGGCTGATTCCACTTCGGGCTTTGCCGTTTCATATGTGCCGTGGCTCGCTCATTCCACTTCTATACAGTCATCAACACGCGACACCATATCCACCAAACCGGAATCGAGGGCACGAGGAACTGTCTCTTCCAAACGCCGTTGAACCAATCCGAGAGATGCATGCAGGTCACATGCGAGAGACCGTACGGATTCAAGGAGAGGGCGGCGAAGAAAAATAAAAAATAAAGAGAAGCTGCTGAACCATCGAGCCTCGACAATCTGCCGTCTGTATTTTGAAAGAAGCGATCTACAATGTCCCTCGTCTTTGCCTGGCGTCCTAAACGAAAGAGTACTTTGCAACAATCGTATCGTACTGCTTCTGGGTGATCGGAGTCACTTGGCCATGCTTGATCGTATTCGGAAAGCCGTTCAGCGACTCTACCTGCCACGCAGCCATATCGTTCAACGTCCTCGCGGTCGCTGGCACATATGACTGGAAAGTGTTCTGATCGATCCATAGATGGTAGAGTCCAGGGTCGACATTATCGCGGAAAATGAGAGGACCTTCATTATTTTCGTATTGATCTGCGAAACGAATGCGTTCATCTTCGGATGCACCTCCCACGCGAGTGAAAGTGCCGAGAATACCATTCTCAGAGCGCTCTTGGTAGATCTGTATCAAGATTAGTGAGAGGTTTCATTGCTGTGCGTTTCAGAAACTAACGCGGTAATCTACTTCACTCTTGATCCATCGGTACCAGACGTCTGGTCCTTCTTCCGTGGCATGCCAGAAGGTGGCATCGATGACGGGGTATCCTGGGAAGAAATACTCTTTGGCCTCGGAGAATGTCACGAAATCTTGGGTGGTTGAGTACATGAGTCTGTTTGGAGGCTGAGGTCCAGTCCTGTTCACATCGGCAGGATCCCAGAATCGGGAAGCGTACACCATGACATACGCTCCTACAAGCGGATCCCAATCTGCTTCCGGAGCCCACTAAAGACGGTGAGCAATGGTTTTAACAGCAAGAAGGCTTCCCGGATTTAGCACTTACCACATTGCCAGCGCTGACATCCACGATAGGCTCGGTCAACCGCGCCTCACTCCACGTAGCAAGATCCTCGCTCTCCCAGACCACAATTGATCGGCTACCGAACCTTGTAGCCTCATTGAAGTCCTCTTTGAAGTCATTAACTTTCAAGTCGGTAGCAATCAGCCACCACTTGCTGCCATCCTGGCTCGGAATGAGATGTGAGTCTCGCACGCCAGTCGTTCCAACGTTGGAGCGCAGTATCGAGCCATTTCCAGCAGGGCCATTCAACTGTTGCCATGAATGTGCGTCGTTGCCATTCGAGAGCCAGCCATAGATGGCCTCGTCCTGCAGAGGGAAGAATGTGCCAAAGTAGCCCACATATTCCTCTTGTGCCGGTTCGCCGTATTGTTGTTGTGCAATAGGTGTTGCCGAAACGGCACCGAGCACGCCGGCTGCGGCGAAAAATGAGGTTGAACGCATGTCTGAAGTCAATGAAGTACCAAATAGAGTGCACACTGTTAGTAGAGAACAGCCGCAACTCTAACTTATACAGGTTTGTTTTCGAAGCCTGAGAAAATCCAAGCCGCAGATCCTAGCAACAAGGCGGACAAATCTCTATTTTCCGTTTTACAGTTCTCCCGCAACGCATGTCATCGGTCGCATGGAGCCCCAAGATCCCCATGAAACAGTGGCGATGAGCACGTATGTGGAGTCGGTATAGCTTGCCAAGAGTCGACTGAACATTCAGGCACAACGCGGAGTGGTGATCACATCCACATGCCGACGCCAAGACATGTTTGGAGAGACACGATTGGAGCGAAAACTAAAGACCTGCAGACTGCTTTCCAGCTGATCCTGGTTAGCAGAAGAAGCGGCTATAGTTTGACAAACTATTCGGGTTTTATGATGCAGTAGGCATGCATGCGTCAATGGCTTCGGGAGTTGCTATTAAGCCTCTGAGTGTTTACTATTAAGCCTCTGAGTTCTTATCGGGCGTAACAACCTGCCCTACCCTACACCTTTGAGGGACACTGCCGCCTCTCTCGACACTCGCCTTCGGCTCGGTCTCGTTCGTTGCCTAATAGAAATAATGCTATCCTTTTTAGGGGCCTATGCCTCACGCGCTCGGGTATCGTACGTCGTCGCTATTGCTCG